TGCTGAACCTGAAATAGCAAAAAGTTCAGGAGATTCTCATGATAGTGGGAAAGTGAACAGTTCCCCTAGAAATGTATGCTCCAAAGCGGGGAACTATGCGATGTCTCTCTAGTTTGGTCCTGGAGCTCTCCTTGCTGTTGTTACTCTATGTCACCTTTAGCATTTGATGCAGCGCCTCCCTGTGCCTTCCAAACTGCCATTCACTGCTTCTTTTCTGAATTGCTTCTAAAAATAATAATAGCTAACATTTTTATAGGCCTACTATGTGCCAGGCAATGTGCTAAGCACTCTACAAATATCTCAGTTGATCTTCACAACAACGTGAAATAGGTGCTATTATAATCCCCCTCTTACAGGTGAGGAAACTGAGGCAGAAAGAGATTAAGTGACTTGTCCAGGGTCACAGAGCTGGTAAGTGTCTGCAGCTGGATTTGAACTTAGGTCTTGATGACCTCAGGCCCAGCTCTATTCTCAGCACTATCTAGTTGTTATTTACTGAAGTTGTCATGTGCCTATGCTTACTATTTTCACCTCAAGGGGATTATGACTCTTATAAGACCACTCTTAACCAACAAACCCAAGGCTTATCAACACATTTTTTTTATTTTGGTGAGGCGATCAGGGTTAAGTGACTTGCCTAAGGTCATACAACTAGTAAGTGTTAAGTGCCTGAGGCTGGATTTGAACTCAGGTCCTCCTGACTCCTAGGCCAGAGCTCTATTCACTTCACCACCTAGCTGCCCACACATTTTCAATTCTTTTATTAGTCGTGTCTATATACACCACTCTTGACCATCACACAAAAAGATTGCTTAGATGTCAAGATCTTGCTTATTCATGTACATCATACCTCCTTCCTACCCCCCCTCCCAAAAAAAAAATTCCAGTGTCCTCACTCCTAGCTGGCTCAGGGTAAATAAATTGATTTCTTCTCCTTGACTCAGAGTACCGGCTTTGAGCTTCTCTGCTCTCTCAGCATACACATGATCTACACTTCCGACTGAGTCTTTCTGAGCCTGGGAATAAATGCATGCACAACTTCTCATTTACTCTTTGAACGACAGCAGCTAGTGCTCAACCATGCAAATCACCTTGTTTCAACCAGTCTCAAGGAGACATTAACACTGGAGTGCAACAGATGAAGCTGATGACCTTCACCCTGCAATCCTACTGGCCACAGCAAACAGTCCCTGCACCCTTTATATATGCACATACGTGAATATTTCAGGTCCTTTTTGCATGTGCATGCGCGTGCGCATGCGCGCGCACGCACACACACACACACACACACACACACATACACATGCATACTTCCTGTCTCCTTGAGTCACTACTGTCTGGTCTCAGCAACATTCCAAATCTCGTAAGGAGGTCTGAAGAACTTCCAATGGCACTTGGGATCCAAACTGAGTCACTGAGTGATTTGGGAACAAACACATTCTATTCTTTTTTTTTTTTTTTTGGCAATTGGGGTTAAGTGACCTGCCCAGGGTCACACAACTAGTAAGTGTCAAGTGTTTGGTCTGAGGCCGGATTTGAACTCAGGTCCTCCTGACTTCAGGGCTGGTGCTGTATCCACTGTGCCACCTAGCTGCCCCCATTCTATGCATTCTGGTAGGAATCTCTATCCCTTCTCTTTTTCTGTCTTTACTGATCTGTTTTTCCTGGAGTCTGTGAGATGGCACAATGGATGGAGCACTGGACCTAGAGTCAGGAAGAATTGAGTTCCAATTCAGCCTCAGATACAAGTTGTATGGTCTTGAGCAAGTCACATGATCTCTTTATGCCTCAGTTTCCTCATCTGTAAAATATGGGGTTGATAATAATAGCAACTACCTCTCAAGGCTATTGTGAGGATAAAATGAGATAATATTTGTAAAGTACTTCACAAATGTTAAAGTACAATGTAAAAGCTGGTATTATTATTATTATTATGTCCATGAATTTATCTTGTTGCCACTCATGATAAATCCTAGGTGAGACAGCTTGCCCTTCTTACATAGTACATTAGAAGGAATACTGTGTAATCAAAAGATCTGGGTTCAAATACTGCCTTCCCTCTTACTGTCTCTGTGACCTTGGGCAGGTCACCACTTCCTGGGCCTCAGTTTCCTCATCTGTAAAATGAGAGAGTTGGTGTCTGATGTCCCTGGTAGCTGTGGCTCTCTTGAAACTCTAAGTCACCTCTGGATTTTAATAAAGGATTTCTTTTTTGAGGCAGAGTAAACCTCTATATAAAACCACTACAGAGTTATCAATAGAAATGTCTGGAGCTAGTGATAAGCTTCCTAATCTTAGCTAGTTTCACCTGGAAATCAGGCCAGAGCCCCAGGCCTGTGAGATTATAGCAGTGAGAAGCTCACCCAACCATTCTTTCCTTCTAAAGCTTTGGGATCCAATTCCACTGCACGTGTCCTACGGTTAAAAATGACACCTACTTAGTTTATATCTACAGTATATAACTCCCCAACTCCAAATACACCAGAAATATGGCTTCCTTACACCAGCCCAGAGCAATTACTCCATTTGCTATGATTCCCTGGGGATGAATCTGTGCGCAGTAGTGCCACTTTATCAGAAATAATAAAAGTTTGGGAGCACCATATTCTGGGTGTGATGCTTCACTTGAATATAAAAGCTGTTGATGAAGCCAGATTTTAAACCAGCACCGGGTGGCCCTGACTCTATCCCAGACATGCTTTGTTCCTCCCTGGACCAATCTGCCAATCTAGCCTGTTCCATTTTTCCCCTTTTGAGCTGTAAATCCCCCAAATCCTATGGCCATCATGACCCTCTCCCAGAACTGCCTTTCCATTGCAGTAGAATGCCATTTTTGAACCTTTACCAAATGAAATCTCCCAAACCAGCACAACTTCTGTAGGAAGATGAGAAATGAAGGCAAAAAACTCTGGACCTGAGTTCAAAACCCTCCTTTGTCATTTACAATCTGTGTGTGGCTTGAAGTATATCATTTAACCTCCCTTGGCCTCCATTTCCTTATCTATAAAATAAGAGGTTGAACTAAATGGCTTCTTAGGTCACTTCTAGCTCTAAATCAATGATGATGATGATGATGATGATGATGATGATGATGTTACTGAGTCTTTCCATCTCTGATGGAAGTACAGTGGTGGCCATTCATAGGCCGATTCTGATGCTGATCAGCAGGGAAGCTTAATCTGCTCTATTTTTCCAACCTGCCCCTTCTTAGGAAATCTGGTGGCCCTCTGCTCCTGGAAGCTCATTATATTGATGCAGGACTCAATGCAGATACCTCAGCTTTAGCCCTTCTATAGCTCAGAACTCCAGTACTCATGTGATTCATTAGCCTCAGCCTCCCAAGAAGTAGGGACTACAGGAATAGGTTGCCATGCCCAGCTTTGATCCTATATTGAAAGGTTGCTCTCATTCAGTTTGCAATGTAGTATAGACAAAAGAACATTGGATTGGGAATCAGGAGACCTGGGTTCTAGCCCTAGTTCTGCCACCAAAATGCTATATGACCTTGGGCAAGTGATTTCCCTAGGCTGTTTCTTCCCCAGTCCAGCAGTGGGAGCAGGGTTAGACTAAATATTGTTGAAGGCATCTCATAGCTCTGTCCTCCTCCTATAACTATCATGATTCATTCACTCAATAAATACTGAGAACTTATGTGTAAGTCAGTGTGCTGGGTGCTATAAGGCACATGTGGGTGAATAATGATCTCGTTTCATATAACACTTTATGAACAGAAAATATTTTTATATATGGACTAATTTGATCCTCACAATTATCTTTTGAGGGTTATTGCCTCATTTTGCACGTGAGGGCACTGAGTTTCAGAGCGGTGAATGGAAGGGTTACTATGGTTTTCCAGTAGGGTAGGGGGTAGGGAGGGCTGAAAAGACAGACATGCAGAGCAGTGGCCTTAGAGAATCGAAGAGGGAAGGAAGATTAGGAGAAGAGATGCTGGCAAGGGTCGGAATTGGTCCAGAGTCCAGAGTAAATAAGAACCGCAGCTGATGGGCCTCTAGGCATTCTGAGAGCAGCTAAGGTGAGGTCTCAGCCAGGACAATGGCCTGCAGCAAGGTCTGAAAATTACAAAATTTATCTCTCTGTTAACTCTTTCCCCGTAGTCACCCTTGTGCAGAAAAAATCTAGTCCTTTCACATAACAACCCTTCAGATATTTGGTCCTGAAGACAGTGATCATCTCCCATCCGCCCCCACCTCAAGCCTTCCCTCTCCAGGCTTGACACCCCCAACTCTTTCCCGATCCTGCAGAGTACAATTTTCAGGACTCTCCCTCTCCAGCGGGGCGTGGGGCAGCAGACTAGAGAGTTAACTATTTTGTACTGGGTTTTTGAGCTGGGCAGCTAAAAAAGATCCTGGGTTTGTGGCCTCAAGCTGGAGGAGCGAGGAAGAGGAGGCCACAGCTATCCGCCCGACTCTCGAGACTCCTTCCTGGTTTGGGGGCGGGGGGGGGGGGATAATCAGCATACATTGTCTAGATAAACCAGGCCTTGGGCGTCCGAGCCTTTCCACTGTCCCAGTGCAGTGTGATGAAACAGGTATGGAGCAGCCCAAACTCGGCTCACCACTCTGGGTGCCTGGCCCCTATGTACCCATCTATACATCCAGACAGCCAAGTCCTGAGCGCCTTAGACCACAGGCTGCTCCTGCCAGCAGGCTGTGACGCAGGTTTGGAGGCTCCTTTAACGTGCAGTCCAGGTGGTCGCCCCCAGTCCCCATCCCCACTCCTAATCTGAACTGAAATATGCTTTGCAATCTCTCCGATCTCGTCACCCAGACGGCTGAACTGATGCCCATCTTTTCCACTGGTCCCTTCGTTCTAATGGAAGGTTTACATTTTGCAAGCAGCCCAGGCTGAGGGCGGGGGTTCCGCGCTGCGCTGGGCCCCCGCCCCAGCTCAGTGTATATTAAATATGCTTCGCTTGTCAATTTCTCGCCCGTACGTTTCTGCAGAGGAGGCGGGTCCGCCCCCTGTGCGCGCAGGCGCGCGCCCAGCCTGGGGAAGCCGCAGGCTCAGCGTTCAGTGACCACAGACTGGTTATTGTAGGTAAGGAATCAGATAAGAAAGTAATTTATAAACCTCTTTAAATCATCAAAATGCAGCTCGCGGAGGGGCTTCTCGGGCTCCCGGGCCTCGACTCCCCTTTTGCGTGCAGGGCAGGGGTTTTTGAGCAGCCCCCGCTCCGGCCTCGGCCAAGTGGACCGCCTTCCGTGGGCACGTCTTTTGCAAGGGGGGGGATGAAGATGTTCGAGAAAATCCCTGTGGAAGTGGGTTTGGCTGCCTCGCGGGGCGGGAAGGGGAGGGGGGGCTGGGCCTGTTTTCGGGGCGTTTTCTGGCTAACCAGGGAGAGTTTGGGTGTGTTGGTTTTTTTTTTTTAATGCAACCAATTAAGAGTTTTAATTAATGCAGAGGAGGAAGGGGCCAGAGAAGGCAGATTTTTCCTTTTCTGGAAAATGGGTCATTTCCCAAACTTACTTTTTTTCCCCCTTTCATTGATTTTTTATCTGGGAAAGGAAAATGAGATCTGTGTCGGGGGGGACAGGAATAAAAAGAATTCCGCCATTTTGATGTTTTAAAAAAAGTAAAGTGGTTTCGGGATGACAACGGCTCGGAGCCAGGGCTGCAAAGGCGGGGCGGGGGCGGAGGCTCCGGGTGGGCGAGGGCTGGCGAGCTTGGAGTTGAGCCCGGGGCGCCTGCACGGGCTCAGGAGCTGTCCCCGCAGAGCACGCAGGGCAGAGCGCGGCTGGAGGTGCTGACCCAGGGCCGGGAGCCTGCAAGGGGGGGGGTTGGCGGCTATCTCCCTTTGGCGGGGGGGGGGGGGAGGGGGAGGGCAAAAGAAGGGGAAGGGTCCCTGATATTTTTAGCGGAGAGAGGGATAGAAATGGGAGGGACTGAAGAGAAGACCAGATGTATGCTGAGCGATAAGAGCAGAGGTTTGGGGCCTGTCCACAGCCGGGTTTGAAGGGCCACCCCCCCCATCCTCATCAGCAAAAAGCACCGAATCTTTCCTGTGCCCCTGCTGTGTGGCCTTGGCCTTGTCAGCAGGTGAAAGAGTCCTGTAGGTAAAGGGACAGTATTTTCTCCACCAAATCCTGATGCATGGATATCTCTTCTGTAAGAAGATCAAAGTAAACTTTCTTTTCTTAAAATCCGGACTGTCCCAGAAACCTTGGGAACTATGGTCCCCCATTTGTGTTAGGATGCCGTCACTGCATTGTGAGTGCCCACAGCCTACTGGGGGAGACAATTCAATTCATTAAACATTTTTTAAACAGGCTCTGGAGGAGATACAAAGTTTAGAGAAAACAGGGACACTACTGTGCCTCTGGAGCTCATATTTCAATAATAATAATTATAATATTTATATAGGTCCTCCAGGCTTAAAACCTGTTATATAAAATACTTCACGACACTGGTTGAGGGGGGAAATGCTGTTATCATCCCCATTTTACAGATGAAGAAACTGAGGCTCCAAAAAGTTGTTACTTTGTAAACCAGTCATGTGTGATAAATACACAAATATGGCAGGTAGGTTGCAGTGGGGGAAAAAAAATACTGAATTTGGATTCAGACAACCTGGGTTCACATCCTAGGGTCTGCCATTTACTCTGTGACCTTGATTATGTCACCTAACCTCAAAGCCTTAATTTCTACCAGTGTAAAATGAGTAGTTGGACTTGAGGTCCCTGAAGGTCTGTTACAGCACTGAATCTATGATACTAATAACTAGAATACAAAATAACAGCAAATAATATATGATTAAAGCATGGGAGGCGCAAAGTAAAATGTTTTGTGAGGTCTTAGGACAGAACTGAGTCAATGTATCAGGGAAGGCTTCCTAGAATTGAACTTTAAAGGAATTTCCAGCATTGGAGTGGTTTGGGAGAGGCCCTTCTAGACTTAGGCAACTGGGAGCAAGGAAATGGGAAAGTAAAGGGGAACCTTAAGTCTGGTGCCTAGAGTACCTGAGAAGGGAGTAATGTGAATGAAGAGTGGCCCAACCCATCTTCATCTCAATTGTTTGTAATCTTTGCCTTCCTTCCAGGTCCAAGTATGACACCACTTCCTCCTGGAAGCCTTCCCTGATTTCACTTATTCCAAGATCCTGTTACTGGTCTGAGTTAAAGATAAATAAGAATTCATTTTAATGCATATTTATTGAGTTCCTACTTGATGCATCAAAATCAGGCCTCTGGTTCCTGCACTCGAATTCTGTATCTGTCAAAGCTCTGACAGTTGGCAGAAAAAGGTCTGTTTATTTTATTTTTATGCCAGCCTAATGGGGGTTGGGGAAAGAGATGGCCAGAGATTCCTAACTTCCCATTTTAAAAAATCTGTCCTCTGTGACTTTATTTAAAGCTAATTATATCTGTACAGCCTATCCCCCCTCTTGGGATAACATGTTCCATAAGTTGACTCCCTGCTGTGGATGGTCAGACTTCCTTTGCTTTGTCCTAAATTTACCTCTTTCAAGTTTGTGTTGAGCCCCCTTGAAGAATCTGGGATTTGATGAACAACTCCCTCTTCTCCCCATCACCCTTTCATGACTCTAGAGTCTCGACTGTCCCTCAAAGGCTGCCCCTCCCCATCTGGAAGGGGGATGAAAAGGCCTTGTCCCTTGGATGATGCTGTTGTACATTTTCTGAACATCCCCAGCTCCTTTAAGGGACATGGCGCAGTGCTGATGACCTTTGTTCTTTCCAACCCTGTTTTTTAGGTCTCTCCCCTCGAAACTTCCCCCTCCCCATTCCTTTGTATGTATGTTGTACTGATTTATCTGCATGTGTGTTGGTTCACCCCAGTAGAGGGTAAACTGGAGGCATGGGGTTTCATTTCTGTCTCTGTTTCCCAGGAATGTAACAGAGTGCTTAACATGTAGTAGGCACTTAATAAATGCACATGGAGTTACTGCCAAATCATAATAGCATAGATTTAGATCTGGAAGGGTTAGTCTGGTCTAACCTTGTCCTTTTATAGGTGAAGAAACTGAGACTCAGGAAAGGAAAGTGACTTCTCAGTTTATACACTGAGTTGGTGGAATAGATGAGATTTGAACTCAGTCCCCTCACTCCAAATTTGGCATCTCTCTCCACTGTTCCCCTCTGCCTCCTGAGAATCTGTTTATGATACACTTATCTAAACTGCTTGTTTGGGGAAGCAAATTACTTTTCAAGGTACCCGTGTACCATTTATACTTAAATGCCTTTCTAGAATGTTAACTAGTACCTTAGAAAAAAATCCATTCACTTAAAAAAATGAACAGTTTTCTCCCTGAGGGTAATTATTCTTCTGTTCTCTGCTACACAGTGTCCCTGCTGATTTGTAACTGCTTGAGTCTGATAAGGCTCATCCCCAGGGATGCTGCTGCTGCTGCTGCTAACTTCCCTAGAAACGTAGAGACCGGGTTAGAGTTGAATCAGGAACATTCAACAGCCAGGGCCAGGCTTTCTTCCCTACTGGGATTTTTGTGCCCCAGGAGCTGATCAGGATCTGCTTAGAAGTCAGAATTCCGTATAGCTAACACTTACAATTTATAAAGTGAATTACACATTTGTTTGGTCCTTGCCATAACCCTGGAAAGGAAGGTGCTATTACTATTGTCCCCATTTTACAGATGAGGAAACTGAGTGTGGGAGAGGTTTAGTGATTTGCCCAGGGATCACACAGAGAGTAAGTGACTGAGATAGGATTTGAATTCAGGTCTTCCTGTGTCCCAAGTCTGCTTATTCACTATCCCAAGAGCACTATCCACCGTGCTTTCTATCTGCCTTTCTTTTCTTGGGGAAGAAGTTTCAGTCTCTTTGTATTTCTTTTGGCTTCAGGTTAATAATGATTTGGGTTTGTTGGGACTTAGAGGTTTTTTTGTTTTTGTTTTTGGTGAAGGCAATTGGGGTTAAGTGACTTGACCAGAGTCACACAGCTACTGAGTATTATATATCTGAGGCCAGATTTGAACTCAGGTCCTCCTGACTCGAGGACCGATGCTCTATCCATTTCACCACATAGCTGCCCCTATTTTTTTTTTAATTTTTTATTTTTAAGCAATTGGGGTTAAGTGACTTGCCTAGGGTCACACAGCTAGTAAGTTTGGTCTGAGGCCGGATTTGAACTCAGGTCCTTCTGACTTCAGGGCTGGTGCTCTATCCACTGCACCACCTAGCTGCCCCTGCCCCTATTTTTTAAACACATATGACAAGGGTTGACTTCCTTGGCCTCCTGTTCGTGACACTCCCTGCATGGTGAGCTTAACCTTACCTGGCCCAGGCTGATGTAGCTCTAGTCTGCTGTCATTAATGGAGACCAGTCACTCTCTTCCCAATGCTTGTTGACTTATAGCCAGCTAGGCAGGCAGTAGGGAAGGAGATCATGTTGTAGGAAGGTCTCAGAGTCCAAAGGCCTTGGCCAAGGCCTAGCTTCACCCTAGGGGTCTGAGCAGGTTACTTCATAGAAGTCAAACCTGTGATTTCATTGGTATAAGGAACTCCCAGGTGAGAAAATTCCTTCTACGAAGCAGGTCAGCACCTTCTCCGCAACTTACATAGTCTTTAGAAGTTTTCTGTGGCACAAAGAGGTAATTGACTTGTCCAAGGTCACACAACCAGAAGTTGTCAGAGGTGGGACTTGAACTGCAGCCCTCTTGGCTTTGAGACTTTTCATCCACTCCACCATGGTGGAATCTGAAATCTAGAGGAGACCTCAGAGACCATCTGGTCCAAAGCATGCCTCCCTTTTACACTTTCTCTGACAATCACGCAGCCCCTTCCCAAAGACTGTCCATGATGGAGAGCCACAGGTCTACAGAGTTAGAATTGGAAACTACCCCCAAGGTCATTTAATGCAACCTGCGCATTTGCCAGGGTCACACAGACGGTAAGTAACATGAGGCAGCCCAATTCCATTGCTGGACAGCTCTAATTGTTTAAAAAAACATTCCTTATGGACATCTGCTTCCCTGTAATTTTCCTCATTGGACCTCAGTCTGCCCTTTGGGACCGTGCAGGACAAATCCAATCCCTCTATGTCTTAATAGTCCTTGAGCTGTGGAAGACTGTAATCACATCTACCTTCCCCCCAACCCTCCAACCCCACCCCCGCCCTATGTCTGGTCCCCTTCCAGCTAAACAGTTCTAATTCCCTCATGATGTGATCTCCTGCCTCCCCATCCTGACCATTATCCTTTAGATTTGCTACAGCTTTTCAGCATCCCTCCTGAAATGTAACCTCAGAGCAGGGTGCCTTGCTCCTAATTACATGGTGTCCAAGTACAACTAGTTATATCAGAGATTCTTCCTGTGAGTGTCTTTGTTCTATTGGATTGAATATTGAATATTGAATAGTATTCAATGCTTCTTTCCTAATGCAGAGCGGAGAAAACTGACTCTGGAGTCAGAGGAACAGAGTTGAAATCCTACCTTTCTCTTACCTGTGTGATGTAGGACAAATTATTTAGCCTCTCCGGGCCTCAGTTTCCTCATCTGCAAAGTGAGGGAGTTGGATACAATGCCTCCAAGGTCCTTTCTAGCGGTGCAACTATAATTCTGTAATATGGGTATGGATTCCTACCCTCTCCCTCTTTCCCCAGACCCAGGGTCTTCAAACAGTTTTGAAGGTCCCTATGCACACCTTTGCTTCGTCACCTGATCCTTGAGCTAGATAGGCCTGGGATTTGGAGAACTGGCCTGTGTGGATTTTCCCCAGGCAGGCCAGGGGGCCTTCTTGGGGCGGGACACCACTAGGCTGAACAAGTTTTTCTTGAACTCCAACATGCTGTGATAAATGTACCTATGGTAAGAGCCAACAGGGATGAGTCAGGCCCATCTTTGGGGAAACTCATTTTCTAGAGCTTAAACCTCTTCTTGGGCCTGCTTTCTGTTGAACTAATGGTCATTTTTCTGTTGGGGGTCTTATGTGTAGGTGGCTGGTGGGGCCCTTGTGTGGCCCATGGATGGGAGAGTAGAGATGGAGATGTTGAGGACCTTGAAGGGCACTGCTGCTGGGGAGGTCAGCGTCCACCTGGTTGCCAACGACAGCACTGGCCACCTGCCAGCCACCACATTCATCATCCCAGGTGCCCCTGGGCCCCAAGTCCTCAGCCAGCCTGGGGCCCCATCACTGCCTTTCCTCTGTCCTCCAATGACTCACGGCAGGGTGGGAGCTTAGAAAGAACCTCCCACTAGTCAGACAAGGAGCCACACATGCCAATTCCAGCTATGTTGTCTGACTTCCCTGAATATATCTAGGGTCCCAGTGCTCCTGGAATCCCTCTCTTTCCTCTGCTTCTGAGGTCCCCCCATCTCTACCAGAGGGGCCAGGGATCTGGGAGGCCAGCCCTGGGATGACCTGAGTTCACCCTCTTTGGGCTCCCTGAGTCCCTGGACGCATCTCGACTAGAGATCTCCAGGCCAGGTCTGGAGGACCCTTTCTTCCCAGACTTTGTCTAGTGGGCAAGAGGTGATTGGGATAAATGGTATTTCAACCCTGTGTGACAATCCCCACCAGCTCCCAACATGAGGGAATGTGGTGGGACATGGAGGAAATGGGGCTTAGGACATCAGTTTACGTCTCTGGGGGCCTGTTCACGCTCTATCTATGTTCTTCTCTCAGCCAACACCACAACCATCAGCCTCCCCACCAATACCTTAGAGATCCCACGGTTCCCCAGAGAGTCCACACGTGCAGGAGGATCAGAGCGGGTCCCAGGCAGCGAGCCTGTCACAGCCACGGTCCTCCCCCAGCTCAGTTCAGGACAGGCTGGCAACACTGTCCGAGTGCTTGAGTGGAAGGATGGGGCAACCTCCCTACCTGGGAGCAACCTACGGGTCAGTCAGTATGTAAGGAAAGTATCCTCAGCCACCATGGTGGCCACCATGGTGGCGGGGAAGCCTGGAGGCCTTTCTGAGGGAGGTGGCTAAGCCCACTATGGTGTGATATCAATGGGATACAATGTAAAGAATGCTGGCATTGGAATTAGAGGAGCTGGGTTCAAATCTACCCTCCTGACACAACACCAGTAGAACTGTGGGCAGGTCACCTAAGCTCCCCGTTCTCTGTTTCCTCATCTTTAAAATGAGGGGGTTGGACTAGGTGGTTTCTGAGGTCCCTTCCAGCCCTGAGCTATGACTCTGTGATCCCAACTTGAAAGAGGAAAGGCTGGGTAGAACACCTCTCCTTGTCCCTTATATGGCCCAGAGGAAGGGCAGAGGTGTTTACAAGGGCATTCTCCACATACCCCGGCCATCCCCCACATACTCAGTTTCTGAACCCTAGACTGTTGCTCTTTTTCTGGGAGCCCCCTCTAGGCCTTCTCCCCATCCCCCCAGGACCTTCCATTGCATGAAGGCGTCTGCCGGCATGAAGGTGGGAGAAGGGGGATTGTTACTCTTGTTAAGCCTGGAACAAGAGTGAAGAGGGCCGACTGGAGCCGACTCACCCTCCTCTCTCTCTACCAGCTGCGGATCAGTGACTATGGGACGCTGAAGGTGGTGGGCACAGACAAGATAACCTCCCCAGAGCTGCTCCGGGAAGACTCGGACCCTCAGGGCCCAGTGGGTGATGCTGCCTCCCAGATGCAGGGTAGGGCATTCCCCAGGCTGAGTTCTGGGCCTCGGGCCAGAGAAGAGGATAGAGGCTCTGTCTACCCCTAAGCAGGGGGTTTTTGTGGGGGTCCTTCCCAGGAAGGCTTGTGGCCCAGGTCCAGATTCCCTTTTCCTGGGATCCATTGTTATTGGGATCCCCCTGGGCTTAAATCAGAGGTCCAGGGTGGGAGGGGCGGGGCGCATTTGGGGGTGGGGTGAGTAGAAGGGGAGGTTGGGCAATTGAATTCAAGAGCTCTCCAAATTCACCTTTTACCCTAGAGGAGGGAGGGAGGCAGAGACACCTGTGGGTTGAGGTCCCAAGGACCAGGAATGGAGTGGGGAGCTATGGGACCCTAACCACCTCACATCCTTTGGTCCTGATGTAGAATGCCCTCAGGGGCGCCAGGATGAGGAAACTTTGGGCCATTGCCACATGTGTGGGCGTCAGAATGTATCAGGGCAAATCAGGGGTTTCTGCAGCGAGCAATGCCATCGACAATTCAAAGAACGGTAAGGGGAATGGGGACCTGCGGGTGGGGTAAAAGGCTCCCCCATCTCAGGCTGGGGAATACGAGATCCCTTGGCCTGTAGCGCCTCTTTGAGTGGGAGGCTTTTCAGGGCCACCAGGGAACCTTTCAAACATCTATGTCATCAGCCAGAGATTGCCCCCAGCTCAGTGGTTAGGAAACCAAGGCCCCTCTGGCCTCCTCTCCCTTGTATGTGTGGTCTTCTCCTTTGGAACATAAACTTCTCAAAAGCAGGAAAATTCTACAAAGTATTTGGATCCCTGTGCTTAGCATGTAGTAAGTTCTTAATAAATGTTTTTCCATTCATTCATTCATGTTGACATGTGGTTCACTGGATCCTGGAGGGAGTTGGTTGAGATGGGTAGGAAGGCAGCCCCCGGTGTCTGTATTTTGAGGGGATAAGAACTCGAGACCTGGGGTGGGCCCTGTGGAGAAAGATAAGACCCTCATTTCCCTCAGGTCTCCCTGTTTCTTCTTTCCTCCTTCAGGTCTGTGATTGTGGAGAACTCGGGGGGCAGCACCAACACATCTGAGCTCCTGAAGCCTGTGAAGAAAAGGAAGAGGAAGGAGTACCAGAGCCCCTCTGAGGAGGAATCCGAGTCTGAACCTCTGGTAGGAAGAAAGGTCTGGGGAGATGAAGAAGATGATGAGGGTGGTGACCCAGGCGGGGACTGGAGGGCCCACGATGCCGCACGTGCCTTCGTCCATTTGTGAAGATACTTATTAGAGTCCTCGCTGTGTATGGGTCCATGGGCTGGGGAGTGGGGGCGGGGACAATTGGACCAGAGCCACCCCTGTTGTCAGGGAGCTGATAGCTTGGCTTGGTGAGAAGATGGGAACGTCTATAGGATGGGCATCCTCTGAGTCCTTGGGCTCACCTGAGTAACAGTGGCAGCAAAGTCTGTTGGAAGAGGACGTTACAGGCCTGGGTAGCAGCAGCTACTGAGGCACACAGCTCCTTCCTGAAGGGGAGAGAGAAGTGTGTGTGTTGGAGGTTTGAGGGTGCTGAGGACAAGTGAGGGTGGGGCATTGGGGAGGAATAAGGAGAGACAGGGTTGTCCAGTTTGCTCCCATGCTAGCGGCTGGGAGCCTGGCCTGAGCCCAGCACACCGAATGTGTTTGAGGCCTTAGTTTTCCCATCTGTGGCTGCTCACTGATCCAAAGCTCTTTGGGTAGTACATGTTTGAAAGCGCATCTCGGGGGCTAAGCTGACAAGTTTCACTTGGGGCAGAGACTTCAACCTAGAAACTGGGAAGAGGCTTATCTTCCACAGGAGAAACAAGAAGAACGGAAGAGCCTAGAGGCCGAGCCCACTGCTGACACCCCTGAAAGTGAGGAATGGAGTAGCCAGCCTGGTATGGTACCTGTGTGTGCAGGAACAGCGAGCCCACATGGGTGGCAGTGTGTCTGTAGACAAGAATGTTTATCATGAATGTATATGAGTAGATTTATCTGTTGTGAAACTGTGATGAAACAGTGCTGCACAGCCCCAGACCAGCTACTCGCAGCCAGGTGGCACAGTGGATAGAGCCCTGGGCCTGGAGTCAGCAAATCCAGCCTCTAACCCTTCCTAGTTGTGTGACCCTTGGCGAGTTACTTAACCTCTATCTGCCTCAGTTTCCTCAAGTAGGGATGATGTATGGGGATAAAATAGCACCTACCTCCTAAGGTTGTTGAGGATCAAATGAGATAATATTTGCAAAGTTCTTAGCACAATGCCTGGCACACAGTAGGTGCTTAATAAATGCTTATTCCCTTCCCCTTTCATTCCCATCTCATTACCTTATGTGTGAGTTGGAGGAGGAGGTGGGATTATTTTTTATAAAACTGTGTCTGGCTCTGGGTCTTCCCCATTTCCCACTTCCCACCCCCAGCTTCTCCAGGATGCTTGTTTCTCCAACCTAGTCTTTGGCAATCTAGCCTCCACAAGAATGGTTTTAATTGGTCAGTCAACACGCATTTCTTTTAGGTACTCACTGTGTGCCAGAAACTATGCTTACCACCCAGATACAAAGAAAGGCAAAAACAGTCCCTACCCTCAAGGAGCTCACAGTCTAATGGGGGAGGCAACATGTAAATAAGTAGGTGCATAGACAATATATACAGGATGAATGAAGGTGATCAGAAAGGGGGAAGAAAGCACAATTTAACTTTTTTTAGGAACAGAATTAAACTTCTCACATGAGAAACTATAGTTTTCACAGAAAGTCACATATACTCCAAGCTTCATCTATTTCATGCTATTCTGTTGGCTTACTTCAGGTTTAAACCTTCTGTCCCCCATTGTCCCCATGTGCTAGAAGTATCAAGTAGCTCTGTCCAGGTCCTGCCTGTCATTGATTGTCATCAGTTTGACAGGGTGGCACATGAGCGTAATCATCCATGACTGAGTGCATTGTGAGACTGCACTGCACTGGATGTGCGTTTGTAGCTTGAGCGAATAGGTACATTTGTTCAATTTTCAGAATTATGAAGTCCTAGGTAAGAAATAGAATTCCTTAAGATCATTGGTAGTATTTTCATCCTAGTTGCCAAATTAATGGTGGGGGCTTCAAGGGAGGGTCAGTTTGGGAAGTGAAAAAGCTGGTTAAGGTGGTAACTGAGGACAGAATCGAGATTTTGACCATGGCTTACACCATTAGGAATGATGGACCCTTGGCCCTGTTTGGAGCATTCCTAATGAGACCAATAAATATATATATTTGCCTGGAATTTACAAATATAAGCATGAGGGCTTTAAACTGAAAAAGGGAAAAAAATTACATACATATGTTTATATGTAATCTGCCAAGCTATATTGGAGCCAGTACAGTATTGTGGTAAATAATATCTAAGAACGAAGTTAGCACTAAAACATCTATCTGGTCTCAGATATCTATGGGAAAACTATAGATGATAAATATGGTGAACTGAAAAAATCCATACAAGGAAACAAATTCAACCTTCGAGGTATCATCGAAACTTGGTGGGATGGTTTTTCATGGAATATGGCTCTGTAAGGGTATACCTGATTCGAATGGAACAGAAAATGTAAGAGAAAAGTAGAATATTATTATGAACGTTGGCAATGACATAGGAGTGAAAAGCCAGCTGCCTGGTCCTCCAAGGCCATCAGCAGGAGCCATTTGTGTGAAGGCTGTTCATATCTACTGATTCTCCGTTCTGGGTTTTCCTTCTCCCGGATTCTTTTTCTTTTTCTTTTTTTTTTTTTTTTTGCTTAGGCAGTTGGGGTTAAGTGACTTGCCCAGTAAGTGTCAAGTGTTTGGTGTGAGGCTGGATTTGAACTCAGGTCCTCCTGACTTCAGGGCCGGTGCTCTATCCACCATGCTGCCTAGCTGCCCCACCAGATTCTTAACATATTGAAGAATGAATCTCTCAGCTCTCGCTCTCATACACTGATCACTCCCCTTGGCTTCATCCACAAAAGTTCATTAATTTAGTAAACAGTTTTCATTGAATTAGAAAAAAAAAACAATAAAAACAGAAATGTTAATTACTTAAAACATAGGCAGCATGTACATTCCATTTGAAGGGCAGCAAGGTGGTGCAGTGGGTAATGTGCTGGGCTTGGAATCAGGAATACTCATCTTTCCGAGTTTAAATCTGGCCTCAGACATGTACTAGCTGTGTGACCTTGAGCAAGTCACTTAACCCTGTTGGCCTCAGTTTCCTCATCTGTAAAATGAGCCGGAGAAGGAAATGGCAAGCCACTCTAGTAGCTTTGCCAAGAAAATTCCAAAATGAGGTCACAGAAAGTCAAAAACAACTGAACAACAACAAAAACATTCTCTTCAATCCCGTGTCCAGCTCCTGACAGGAAATGCAGTTTAGCATCTGTTTTTTCCCCAGCCCGTGTCTTCATCCCTTAAATATAGAAACAGTATCCGGCCATAAATGCCCCAGCTCCCAGATGCAGCACATGGTGTAGGGAGACACCTAGGACTCATTTTGTGAGTCTTAATTCACTGTAAGTGCAGAGGATTGAAATCCAGAAGACCCCTTTCCTTTCTGCTAGCGTTGGTTTGGGCCATTTGCCTCTGTATTATTCACTCAAGCACACGAAAGGCTATTTAAGCCCTTACCCAGTGCTGAAGAAAACCTGTGTTAGCGAGCAGAAGCTTGCTTATTCTGTCTATCTCAGTCTCTACTCATAGGGCCATTGACCTAGAACTGGAAGGAAAAGGCTTTAGAAGGCACCCAGTCCAAACCCCTCATTTAATAGGCGAGGAAGTAAGTGAGTAATTTATTAAGGAATTTAATTTTTAATTATCAAGTAATTATTAAGAAACATTCATCAATATTGATATAAATTATTAATAATTAAATAAAACAGTTGTTAATATTGGTTATTAATTTTAAATTGTTAAGTAATTTAATAAGTGAGACCCAAGTAACTTGCCCAGCCTCACAATTAGGAAGTGTTAGAAGTGAGATTTGAACTTGGATCCTATGACTCCGATGTTCTTTCCACTTTCATACTTTCTTTCACTATTAAAGTCTGCTACTTTATCTATCCTTGAAGCCTGCCTTTGTTAGGAAGGGTTGATGCTTGAAAGCTTCTAAGGTTGCCAGGGCCAGTAGAATTTGTCTCTTGACTTGGAGCATGAAGGTGGGAACCCATGTTTCTCTTCTCTCCTCCTTCAAAAGTGCATGCATGATTCTGCATCCAATATCACCATTATCCATCTGCCTTCTATACAGATAGAAGCTATGTCAGGATGTCAGTCAGTCAATAAGAACTTTTTAAGCACCTGCTATGTTCCAGGAATTGTGCTAAGTGGTAGGTATACAAAGAAAGGCAAAAGATAATCCCTGCCCTCAAGGAGCTTAAGTTTAATGGACGGTGGCCTGACAAGGGGTTAAACTGCCTTCTGTTGCATTCTTTTGCTTGCTTCCAGTGAAAAAAGTTATTGCTTCTACAAATTCCGTGAAGTACATTTGAGACACCCGTGAGCATACATTATAAGCATTTATCAATTACGTTCATTATAAACATCTATCAATTTGTTATGACATAGCTACAGGTAATTATCCCAGCTACCCTGTATAGTATTTATGCAGGTCTTTCACCTTTAACCTATTAGAATTGGATGCAGCAAGCATGAGTACATGTTTTAAAAAAAAAGAATAACATTTATGATAACTCTACAATCAGTAGACCCAGGAGAAAAGTCATGAAATACATAGCACTGAGCATCCCATCACAGGGTTGTGTGCAATTAATACGTGTCACAGAGGTTAGATGCAGGAGTAATATAGACACATATAACAATAGCCTGTGAGCCCTAGCATATCAGCATGTTTATCAACAAAGCATCATGCAGCATTAAAAGCATACTGCATAACTGATACCTAGGTCTTCAAAGTTACACATTACATGCTCTCTAGCTACATGGGGAACCACTCCCCCACTATTGCAACTGAAGTATCATTAATTAACTTGGGCACTAGCCCAACACTCCTGGCACTTCCACTGTGGTCGTAACTTGTAGGGTACACATGCTGACTATCAGCATCCTCAGGCCTGCTGGCCTGCAGTCCCTATCCTGAGCATGTAGATGGCCCAAGGTGACTAATTCTATCTCCAGGTTTCCTGGTAGCCTTCTGGCAGAGTTGGGATATTGGGTAAGAGGCTTCTTCTGGGCTAGACTTCCTCTTCCCTCCCTCTGGAGAGAAGTCGCCCTAAGTCCAGAATAAACTCAGCTGACTCCCAAGCTACTCTCCTCCTCTGAGAGACTCTCTACAATTGAAGAATGGACTCTTTTCTTCACTAACTATCCATCACTCTCGTCCTCCTGCTAACCCAACTTCTCAGTAGGGCAGTAGGTGGTTGTGATGTATCTCTTCACAGGGCCTCTTTATTAAAAACTGGGTTATTGAGTTCCATTGTTTCTGATTTACCCTGGTCTAGTCTGTTGTATTGATCTACAACAGTTTTGATGACTGCTGCTTTATGATATAGTCTAGAAGTACTATTACCCCTTTGCCCCCACCTCTTTTCTTCATTTCCCTTGATATTCTAGATCTTTCATTTTTCCAAATGGAATTTTGTTAATATTTTTATCAAGTTCTATAAAATATCTATAAGGTAATTTGATTGATGCAGTATTAAAAGTGTAAATTAACTTTGGTAGCATTGTCATTTTTATTATATTGGCACAACCTAGCCATGAGCACTGAATATTCCTCCAGCTATTTAAATTGTTATTTATTTCTTCAAGGAGCACTTTGTCACTGAATCTGTACAAGTCTTTTGTGAGCTTTGGTAGATCAGACCCCAGAGATTTTATGCATTTTGTAGTCATTTAGAATAGGATTTCCCTATTATTATTGCTTCTTGGGTTTTTGTAATTAT